CCATCTCAAAAAAAAAAAAAAAAAAAAAGACAGAGTTTCGCTCTTGTTGCTCAGGCTGGAGTGCAATGGTGTGATCTTGGCTCACCGCAACTTCTGCCTCCCAGGTTCAAGCCATTCTCCCCTCTCCGCCTCCCAAGTAGCTGGGATTACAGGCATGCACCACCATGCCCAGCTAATTTTTTGTATTTTTAGTAGAGATGGCGTTTCTCCACGCTGGTCAGGCTGGTCTTGAACTCCTGACATCAGGTGATCTGCCCACCTCAGCCTCCCAAAGTGCTGAGATTACAGACGTGAGCCACCGCGCCCGGCCTCAACATATTCTTGCTCAAGGATCAAAGAATTTAATTTTTGCAAAGTTGTCGATACAAGCTACAGTGATGAACTAATAATTTAATATAATCTCTACAAAAAATTCAATAGTACAATTTTTTACAGAAATATTCTTCACAATTTTAAAATTTGATTAAAAACTACAGCCAAACTATGAAAACAATAAAGAGGTATATTATACTTTCTGATTTCAAAACACAAAAGCTACAATAACAATGTGATACTGACACAAAGACAGAGAAGCAGATGAATAAACAGAATAAAGTGCCCTAAAATGAACCCTTCTGTTTCTGATCAAATGATCTTCCACAAAGTTGCCAAGAGCAAACAATAGAAAAACAAGTCTTCAAAAAATAATGTTGAAATGTGGATATCAAAAGTAATAAAATAAAGTTGGATCATTTCCTTAAATTATATATACAAATAATTTTTTTTTTTTTTTTTTTTTTTTGAAGACGGGGGTTTGCTTTTGTTACCCAGGCTGGAGTGCAATGGCACGATCTCGGCTCACCGCAACCTCCGCCTCCTGGGTTCAGGCAATTCTCCTGCCTCAGCCTCCTGAGTAGCTGGGATTACAGGCACGCACCACCATGCCCAGCTAATTTTTTTGTATTTTTAGTAGAGACGGGGTTTCACCATGTTGACCAGGATGGTCTCGATCTCTTGACCTCGTGATCCACCCGCCTCGGCCTCCCAAAGTGCTGGGATTACAGGCTTGAGCCACCGCGCCCGGCCATACAAATAATTTAAATAGCCAAAAAGAAGTAACTAACAAATCTTTTAAAAAGAAATATTGGGCTGGGCGCAGTGGCTCACGCCTGTAATCCTAGCACTTTGGGAGGCCGAGGCGGGTGGATCACGAGGTCAAGAGATCAAGACCATCCTGGTCAACATGGTGAAACCCCATCTCTACTAAAAATACAAAAAATCAGCTGGGCATGGTGGCGCGTGCCTGTAATCCCAGCTACTCAGGAGGCTGAGGCAGGAGAATTGCCTGAACCCAGGAGGCGGAGGTTGCGGTGAGCCAAGATCGCGCCATTGCACTCCAGCCTGGGTAAAAAGAGCGAAACCCCGTCTTAAAAAAAAAAAAAAAAAAAAAAAAGAAATATTAAAAAAAGACATGACATTGGTCTTGGCACCATTTTCTTAGATACAACCTTAAATGCATGAACAACAAAGAAAAGAACAGAAAAATTTAACTACATTATACCTCGATATATCAAAGAAAACATTCGATAGAGCGACAATGCCTCCTAGAAAATAAAAGTATTTGCAAATCCCATGTGATATTTATTCATTGATATTCAGAATATATAAATAACTCTTAAAACTGAACAATGAACGTGAATAATTTGATTTGGAAACGGACAAATAATTGAACTAAATTTTTTTTTTTTTTTTTTTGAGACGGAGTTTCACTCATGTTACCCAGGCTGGAGTGCAATGGCGCGATCTCGGCTCACCGCAACCTCCGCCTCCTGGGTTCAGGCAATTCTTCTGCCTCAGCCTCCTGAGTAGCTGGGATTACAGGCATGCATCACCATGCCCAGCTAATTTTTTGTATTTTGAGTAGAGACGGGGTTTCACCATGTTGACCAGGATGGTTTCGATCTCTTGACCTCATGATCCACCCGCCTCGGCCTCCCAAAGTGCTGGGATTACAGGCTTGAGCCACCGCGCCCGGCCTGAACTAAATTTTTATCAAAAATATACACATGGGAAGAAGTATTTGAAAACACAAAATTACGATTTGTAGAGAAATGCATAAAAATCGCAATGAAAAACAAAATCGCCTCACACCCATTTAGAATGGCCACTATAAATTTTTTTAAAACACAAAATCTGTTGATGATGCAATAAAAATAAACCTGTCAGGTGGAGGGGCTCACATCTTTAATCCCAACATTCTGGGAGGGCGAGACAGGTAAATATCCTTAGGTCAGGAGTTCAAGACTAGCCTGGCAAACATGGGATAACCTCATCTCTGCTAAAAACACAAAAATTAGTGAAGCATGGTGGTGGGTGCCTATAAATCTCAGCTACTCCAGAGGCTGAGGCAGAATTGTTTGAATCTGGGACATGGGGGCTGCTGTGAGCTGAGATCGAGTCACTGCACTCCAGTCTAGGTGACAGAGTAAGACCCAATATCAAAAAAAAAAAAAAAAAATCTATGTTGATTGGTGGTGGAAAACAAGTATGCAGCCATTATTTAAAATGTTATGTTTCTCAAATAATTAAAAATGAAATTATCATCAAATACAGAAATCTCATTTATGAATCTATATTCATGACAGAAAACACAGGACCTGTACGACATATTTGAACATCCATATTTATTGTATCAGTAGGCACAAAAGCCAAAAGGCTGAAGAAACTTAGATGTTTCTTGATTGATAAATATATCAAAAAATAATTTTTTTTTTTTTTTGAGACGGAGTTTCACTCTTGTTACCCAGGCTGGAGTGCAATGGCACGATCTCGGCTCACCGCAACCTCCGCCTCCTGGGTTCAGGCAATTCTCCTGCCTCAACCTCCTGAGTAGTTGGGATTACAGGCACGTGCCACCATGCCCAGCTAATGTTTTTGTATTTTTAGTAGAGACGGGGTTTGACCATGTTGACCAGGATGGTCTCGATCTCTTGACCTCGTGATCCACCCGCCTCGGCCTCCCAAAGTGCTGGGATTACAGGCTTGAGCCACCGCGCCCGGCCAAAATTTTTTTTTTTAAGATGGGGTTTCACCATGTTGGCCAGGTTGGTCTTGAACTCTTGACCTCAAGTGATCCACCTGCCTCGGCCTCCCAAAGTGCTGGGATTATAGGCGTGAGCCACTGTATCTGGCCCAGCAAACTTAAATTTATAAGCAAGTATATTAGTAAATATGGAGTGGCTATTACCTAATTTACTTCAGACATAACATGCAAATTCTCATATAATTGTCCTAAATGTCTGATTCCAAAATTATAGACAAATTTGAAATAAAAAACAAACTGGGTCAGGCACAGTGGCTCATGCCTGTAATCCCAGCACTGTGAGAGGTTGAGGTGGGTAGATAATTTGAGGTCGGAAGTTTTGGACCAACCTGACCAATGTGGTAAAAAATCCCGTATCTACTTAAAATATAGAAAAATTAGCCAGGTTTGATGGTGGATAACTGCAACCTCAGCTAATTGGGAGGCCGAGGCAGGAGAATCAGTTGAACCTGACAAGTGGAGGTTGTAGTGAGCTGAGATTGTGTCATTGCATTCCAGCCTGGCCGACAGAGCAAGACTCTGACTAAAAAAAAAAAAGAAGAAAAAAGAAAAAAAAAAAAAAAAAAAAAAACCTAAAAACTAAAAATGTATAAGAAGAGTAACATCAGTAAGATGGAAAAATAAAAGGTGCCCAGGTACCCTACTGGCTTACTCCCATAGAGCAAGAAAATTTGTCAGCCATCCCAGACAAAAATGCCTTTATGAGAGCCAGGCATCATGGCTCACACCTGTAATAACAACTACATAGTACATTGAGGTTGGAGAATTGCTTCAGGCTAGGATTTTAAGATCAGGCTAGGTTATGTAGCAAGATCCCATCTCAAAAATAAGTGCCTTTGAAAGCTTTGAGATCCAGGGAGGTAGTTGTAAAACTCTCATATAGCCCAAGATTAAGGAGTTGGTTTTTTTTTTTTAGAATGCAGGCTCTCATTCAGGTGGCAAACTACAGGACCCCTGTTCTTAACTACAGACCAGAAAATGGCCCACCCAACTTGGTCCCACAGAAAATTCTGAACTTACTCTGTAACCATCCCAAACTGCTTCCAGCCACCGTCTATAAGAGATCCTGTTTTTCAAAAGGCCTGGAGGAAGACACCAGTTTATAGCCATGCAGGCCTTTACTACGGACCCTGAAGCAGTTCAGTGACTGTTCCAGCTTCCTGAGCCATAGTTTATGGCCAGTTCTGCCTCCTAGAAACCCACACAGTTACCTGGGGAAATCTTCTCTAGGACTCAGTGAAAGGCATACTCATCCACGTCCTGATATAAAGCCCACCATATGCAGACCTAACTACAAAAACCTGCTCTAGTGCCTGCCCTATAGAGCAAAGTCCTGAAGGATATTCCCTCTGTCCAAAAATAAAATGGAAATTACAACTACCCAAGTCCCTTGTAACAAGCCAACTAAAAAAGTGGCCTGTAGGGCAGACTCAGCAGCCTTGTGATCAAGCTATGACACCTCTCCACTACAGGCCAGGAGCAGTGGCTCATGCCTGTAATCCCAGCACTTTGGGAGGCTGAGGCAGACAGATCACTTGAGGTTAGGTGTTTGAGACCAACATGTCAAAACCCTGTCTCTACTAAAAATTCAAAAATTAGCCAGGCATGGTAGTACATGCCTGTAATCCCAGCTACTCGGGAGGCTGAAGGAGGAGAATTGCTTGAACCCGGCAGGTGGAGGTTGCAGTGAGATGAGATCCTGCCACTGCACTCCAGCCTGGGTGATATAGCAAGACTCTGTCTTTAAAAAAAAAAAAAAAAAAAGCCATGTTATCCAAAGTGAGCTATAAATTTTATAAACTTTCTATCAAAGTTCCTGTGGCATTTTTTTCACAGTAATGGAAAATGTAATTCTAAAATATACATGAAACTAGAATAAATTTGAACAAAGCAATTTTGAAAAAGAACAAAGCAGAGAAACATCGTAATTCATAATTTCAAATTATGTAAAGACTATAGTAATAAAAACAGGATGAACTGTGCAGAAAATACACACAAAAATCCAATGGAACAGAAAGTACTACTTACACATTTCAGATGTGATGCAAAAAAAGAACTTAAAAAATAGTTTAATATAGAGTTTCTCAAAAGTATGCAGACATTTGTGTGTCCCCAAAAAGAATGAAAAAGCAGTCAAATTGTGCAGTCTCTTAAATGTCACGAAGAGGACTTTGGCTCACACAGTAAACTTGAAGGAAGATCACCAAAGGGAAATTAGAATCCTGAGACAATTTAAAAGCATCAGACAAAAGATGTCCCTATGTGAAAGCAAAATGAAAAAACTTGGAACACAGCTTCTCAAGTCATATTTTAAGGACTGGCTTTCTTAACCTTTGCACTTCTCATCTGTGTTGTCTGCTGTATTGACTTTCACTCTCACCTACCTGAGGATTTGGCAACCATCTCATGTCTCTTCATATTCCAAGGTTCTTTTTCTTGCTCCAGACAGGTGATCAGGTCTGGCTTAGAGACAGCAATGCCTGTTTTAATAAAAAGTAATTACATGAATCTTGTTCATATTCTCCAATTATTAATCTAGTAATGTGTCCAGTATGAAGGGTGTGATAGAATATCCTAATAATTAATCCCAAAATACTAATTTTTATTTTTGGAGATGGAGTCTTAATCTGTCACCAAGGCTGGAGTCCAGAGGTGTGATCTCAGCTCACTGCAATCTCTGCCTCCTCGGTTCAAGCGATTCCAATGCCTCAGCCTCCCAAGTAGCTGGGATTACACTATGCCTGGTTAATCTTTGCATTTTTAGTAGAGACAGGGTTTTAGTAGAACAAGCACCTGCTACCACAATAGGCTACTTTTTTTTTTTTTTTGTATTTTTATTAGAGACGGGGTTTTACCATGTTGGTCAGGCTGGTCTTGAACTCCTAACCTCAGGGTGATCTGCCTGCCTTGGCCTTCCAAAGTGCTGGGATCATAGGCATGAGCCACCATACCTGGCCCCAAAATACTAATTTTTCTTTCTTGTTTTCATTCATTCTTTCTTTCTTTTTTTTTTTTTTTTGAGACAGAGTCTTGCTCTGTTCCCCAGGCTAGAGTGCAATGGTGTGATCTTGGATCACTGCAACCTCTGTCTCCCGAGTTGAAGCGGTTCTTCTGCCTCAGCCTCCTGAGTACCTGAGATTACAGGTGCCAGCCACCACACCCAGCTAATTTTCGTATTTTTAGTAGAGACAGGGTTTCACTATCTTGGCCAGGCTGGTCTCAAACTCCTGACTTCATGATCCACCCGCCTCGGCCTCCCAAAGTGCTGGGATTACAGCTGTGTTCCACCATACCCAGCCTAATTTTTAACAAAAATTTATTTTATTTTATTTTATTTATTTATTTTTTGAGACGGAGTTTCGCTCTTGTTACTCAGGCTGGAGTGCAATGGCGCCATCTCGGCTCACCGCAACCTCCGCCTCCTGGGTTCAGGCAATTCTCCTGCCTCAGCCTCCTGAGTAGCTGGGATTACAGGCATGTGCCACCATGCCCAGCTAATGTTTTGTATTTTTAGTAGAGACGGGGTTTCACCATGTTGACCAGGATGGTCTCGATCTCTTGACCTCGTGATCCACCCGCCTCAGCCTCCCAAAGTGCTGGGATTACAGGCTTGAGCCACCGCACCCGGCCTATTTTATTATTTTTTTTAGATGGAGTCTTGCTCTGTTGCCCAGGATGGAGTACAGAGGTGCAATCACAGCTCACTGCAACCTCCGCCTCCCAGGTTCAAGCCATTCTCCTGCCTCAACTTCCTGAGTAGCTGGAATTACAGGTGTGCACCATCACGCCTGGCTAATTTTTATATTTTTAGTAGAGATGGGGTTTCACCATCCTAGCCAGGCTGGTCTCAAACTCCTGGCTTTGTGATCCACCCGCCTTGGCCTCCCAAAATGCTGGGATTACAAGTGCGTTCCACCACTCCTGGCCTAATTTTTAACAAAAATTTCTTTTCTTTGAGACGGAGTCTTGCTCTGTTGCCCAGGATAGAGTGCAGTGGTGGGATCTAGGCTCACTGCAACCTCCTCCTCCCAGAATCAAGCCATTCTCCTGCCTCAGCCTCCTGAGTAGCTGGGATTACAGGCATGCACCATCATGCCTGGCTAGTTTTTCTATTTTTAGTAGAGACGGGGTTTTGCCATGTTGGTCAGGCTGGTCTTGAACTCCTGATGTCAGGTGATCTGCCTGCCTCGGCCTCCCAGAGTGCTGGGATTATAGGAATGAGCCACCATGCCTGGCCTTTAACAAACATTTCTAAATATTTAGAAAATATCTTATTTTGTAACTTCTTAATTTCACCACCTGATAATATTGAATCAAAAATTAGTGTTGGCAATTAGATTTTAAGTTGTGGCAAACAACATTTTATGACACTTTATTTCTGGAATTACAACTAATCCAGAGTGAAAGACACAGATTAGCTCAGAAGTGTGAAAAGTTCAGGTCATGATGAAACATCTTGAAAAAATTCTTTAGTCCACCAAAAAAATCTCCAAGATTTTTCTGAAAACAGGAAATCTGAAACTCATCAATGCGATGCACAAATTACCAAAAAGCATTCTACAAAAAAGAAAAATGAAATCTTTGGGGTATATTAGGATTTGTATATTGAAGTTATGCTCACCCAGGAAGACCAGGTTTCTGTAGTTCTCTAACATCACATTCCTATATAAATTCTGCTGTGCAGTGTCCAGGCATTGCCACTCCTCCAGACAGAATTCTATGGCCACATCCATAAATGTCAATGGTCCCTAAAAAATACACATACACACACACACATTTACCAAGTGGCCATGGGGAGAATTTATAATTTGACTCAAGGTAAAATGAGAGGGTAAAGAGAAGAGGTTCTGACTTATAGACAAATTATCCAATAAAATAATTCTTTATGTGGAAATATTCTCTATTTTTTTTTTTTTTTGAGACGGAGTTTCACTCTTGTTACCCAGGCTGGAGTGCAATGGCGCAGTCTCAGCTCACTGCAACCTCCGCCTCCCGGGTTCAGGCAATTCTCCTGCCTCAGCCTCCTGAGTAGCTGGGACTACAGGCACGCGCCACCATGCCCAGCTAATTTTTTGTATTTTTAGTAGAGACGGGGTTTCACCATGTTGACCAGGATGGTCTCGATCTCGACCTCGTGATCCACCCGCCTCGGCCTCCCAAAGTGCTGGGATTACAGGCTTGAGCCACCGCGCCCAGCCTTATTTATTTATTTTTTTTAAGATGGAGTTTAGCTCTTGTTGCCCAGGCTGGAGTGCAATGGCACAATCTTGGCTCACCACAACCTCCACCTCCTGGATTCAATCGATTCTCCTGCCTCAGCTTCCCGAGTAGCTGGGATTATAGGCATGCACCACCACATCCAGCTAATTCTGTATTTGTTAGTAGAGACGGGGTTTCTCCATGTTGGTCAGGCTGGTCTCCAACTCCCGACCTCAGGTGATCCACCTGCCTCGGCCTCCCAAAGTGTTGGGATTACAGGCATGAGGCACCATGCCCAGCCCTCTAATGTATTTTCTACTCCTAAGAAAAGAAAGTGGCATAAGTTCTACAACAGGGTACATATTGTACTTTTCCATAATATTTTTCTGGATGATAAACTATAAAGGTCATAAACAAATGTGAATTTTTGAGTTCTCTATTTGCATCATACAGAATGAGTTGCATATATTTTTCAGATAAATCCAGTAAGTGGAAAAGTCTGTGTTTTTTTCTAGTTTTTCTGACCTGTAAACAAAGATAAGAGCTTTCATTTTCAAAAGACAGATAAATGCAAATAAAACCTAAGAAAGAAGAGCAGTTACCAGATTAAATGTAATGGTTTACATACATTAGATGCATAAAGATTCTTTCTTTTTTTTTTTTTTTTTGAGACGGAGTTTCGCTCTTGTTACCCAGGCTGGAGTGCAATGGCGCGATCTCGGCTCACCGCAACCTCCGCCTCCTGGGTTCAGGCAATTCTCCTGCCTCAGCCTCCTGAGTAGCTGGGATTACAGGCACGTGCCACCATGCCCAGCTAATTTTTTGTATTTTTAGTAGAGACGGGGTTTCACCATGTTGACCAGGATGGTCTCGATCTCTTGACCTCGTGATCCACCCGCCTCGGCCTCCCAAAGTGCTGGGATTACAGGCTTGAGCCACCGCGCCCGGCCAAAGATTCTTAATAATACAGCCAGGTGTGGTGGCTCATACCTGTAATCCCAGCACTTTGGGAGGCTCAGGCAGGTGGATCACCTGAGATAAGGAATTTGAGACCAGTCTGGCCAACATGGAGAAACGCCATCTCTACTAAAAATACAAAAATTAGCCAGGCATGGTGGCACATCCCTGTAGTCCCAGGAGGGACTTGGGAGGCTGAGGCAGGAGAATGATTTGATCCCGGGAGGCAGAGGTTGTAGTAAGCTGAGATCATGCCATTGCATTCCAGCCTGGGTGACAAAGACTCTATTTCAGAAAAAAAAAAAAGTTCTTAATAATAAAAGGAAATATAACTAATCAAGTAACTATATAGGGAAACAGTCTGTCAGAGAGCCCTTTCATCAAGTGACTAATTAACATAAACTGCACTAGGATAAATTTTTTTTTTTTTTTTTTTTTGAGACGGAGTCTTGCTCTGTTGCCAGGCTGGAGTGCAGTGGCGCAATCTCAGTTCGCTGCAACCTTCACCTCCCATGTTCAAGTGATTCTCCTGCCTCAGTCTCCCAAGTAGCTGGAACTACAGGAGCCCGCCAGCACACCCATCTAATTTTTTGCATTTTCAGTAGAGATGGAGTTTCATGATTTTAGCTAGGATTTTAGTCAAAATCTCCTGACCTTGTGATCCGCCCACCTCAGCCTCCCTTTAAAGTACTGCGACTATAGGCGTGAGCTACCGTGCCCGGCCTAGAGCAAATTTTTTAAATGTGCTGATACATGCAGAAAGACACGGCATCACTGCTGTGATAATGCCCCCCAAAAGTAAATTATAATCTAAATTTAACCACAAGGAAATATCAATTTTATGCAAAGTTCAAGATAAAGATATCTCTCATGTTCTGTCATTTTTTTTTTTTTCCTTTGAGATGGGAGTTTCGCTCTTGTTGCCCAGGCTGGAGTGGAATGATGCGATCTTGGCTCACTGCAACCTCTGCCTCCTGGGTTCAAGCAATTCTCCTGCCTCAGCCTCCCAAGTAGCTGGGATTACAGGCATGTGCCACCACACCTCACTAACATTTTTGGATTTTTAGTAGAGATGAGCTTTCACCATGTTGGTCAGGCTGGTCTTGAACTCCTGACCTCCAGTGATCCGCCCACCTTGGCCCCCCAAAGTGCTGGGATTACAGGCGTGAGCCACTGCACCCAGCTGTAAGTTTTAACAGTAATTTTTAGCAGTCTATCTTTAGCACCCTAGACAGCAAATATATCCTGATAATGTTTTTCAGAACTTTCTGGTTTATAAATGCCTTCTTTTGAAATAAGCATTTTCTGAATCCTGTTCTGCATTGAGCAAATAAAAAACACATACTGAACCTCAACATTACACGTTCTCCATTTTTAGTGAGAACTCCAGCTTCTCCCCAATAGATTGAGTATTCACACGTTCCCATGTTCAAAAGCCACAAATGGATCATTTTTATTTTTATTATTTTATTTTATTTATTTATTTTTAAAAACGGGGTTGCCGGGCGCGGTGGCTCAAGCCTGTAATCCCAGCACTTTGGGAGGCC